TGACTTACGTAAATGATTTGCACTTAAATATAAAACTATCCTTATTTTAATCGCTAAAAGTAAAGTATTGAAAATAACTTAAAAAAATTTATTTAAATATTACTTATTTTATCACTGATTAAATGTAGAATTAACACAGTTTGTTAAAAACAGTTCATTTCATATCCATGGCATATAATATATAAGCAGATTAGTCATGAATTTACTCTGGCTTTTATCAATAACTAGAAATTATTAAAATTGAAAGCAGACATTTTCCCATTTTCATATATACAATGCAAATTTAAGAGACAACATGAAAATTTATGAAATTTGGTTCAGCTTCAGATGATTATATGTTCAAAAAAAGGTACTCAAATGTATGATTGTCAGTTATTGTAATACAGTAATTATGAGCCGTCATACATTTGGTATACATTTTCATGAATTTACATATCACGTTTATGACAATAATAAAATAAAACGTAAAGACAAATTAATATGAATGAATGATTGTGATTGATTATCATTATCAGAATATCCATTGCAGAGCAGAGTGATGGATAACGGTGCAACTTGTAATTTTGGAAATTAGTATCAAAAAAGCCCAACGCAACTGAAACACACCAGCAACGTTAGCAATCAACATTACCAACTTATGTTGCTAGTTTTTTTAAAGCAAAATTCTTATTTGGTAATAACTCAACTACCGAATCTATGACGATAATCGAAAATTAGACGATATTTTAAACATAGATAAAAAGCTAAATGTTTATTAAAATTAATTTTTCATTGATGTTTTTGGTTCTATGGATCAAGATTTTTAACAAAAATTTATTTTAACCGATGTATGAATATATATATATATATATATATATATATATATATATATATATATATATATATATATATATATATGAGATTTGCCATATCCATTATATATATCCATGGTTTAATGTTTACGCGTTTAATTACATAGAACTAAGCAAAATTATTAGGCAGGTAACAATTCTTATGCCATATCCATTATATCCATAATTGAGACATATACAAGTGATAAACCCATTGATATATATAATATATCCATGGATAAACCACCTAAAATTCTTCACCTGGTGTGTAATACTGTGATAGCGTCGCTTTCTAATTTGGTTTTCGTGATTGGTTGCCAGCGATTTTGTACTAGTTTTTCGTTCGTTTTGCTGTCTAAACCCTAACCCTGACACTAACTATCCTAAAATTATTTTTTATTATTATAAACTTGAAATTATTCATTAATTCATAAAAACATTTAATTCATTATACTTACTATTTTTCAAAAATAGCTTAAAAACGACACACATTTCCGGTCATGCTTGTTTTTAAGAGAACATTAAAATCTGAAAGTAATAATTATGACTCAATGAAATTAAAACGAGCGCAGTTAGAAATTGATAATTCAAGTAATATTTATTGTTTAAACCACTTTGGAAATGAAGAAAATTTCTTGTCTTATTCTATCGATGTTCCGGGTGGGAGCTGGAACTTTGCCGATAAGTAAGAAAACCAGACTGACTGAATAATTAATAGCAGAAGAAATTCTTTTGGAACTATCAGAACCAATGACGTCAAATCACGTTCTTGGTTCCTCTGTTACTTTCGAACAACTGCAGCTTGCAGATTTTGATTGGCTTACTTGCTGGACTTTAGATCAGAGATATCATTTTCTTGTGAAATACGTATCCATAATAAAATAAACTTGGTTGTACCTCTTACCGAAAAGTTGGCAATCTCATAGTTGAGACAAAGGTGGAAATGAAGGTATCGAACGAATAGGCCGACAATTAAATAACTTCGGAACTAATCGGCAACAACAGCTTATGTCTTTAAGAACGAAACTGCGGCACACAAAGCTGCGCTTAAGATCCTAACAGAAGCCAAAACAGCAACTATTGATAACATGTTGTAAAAGGCATTAACTTGTCAAATATATGTTTTGGCGTGGGTGCCATCTTCATTGGTATTATTTAGTTGAATATTTATTGCTGGTTTACGTTTATCGATGAAAATTGATTCAGCTATCTTCAATTTGAAGTATTCTCTGTTGTAATAAGATAATAAATAAAAATGTTAAAGTCATAGATACAAACAGCTCATTAAAATTAAGAATCTACTACACGAACAAGAAAACATCATCTCTAATAATAAAAAACAATTCCAACACTAAACCTTCCTATGATATGAAAAGTAATCATTTGAGATATTCATTCACATGTAAAATTGGTGAGTGCTGGCATCAAAATTCTGAATACATCGGAAAGACTACAACAACATTAACGAGAAGACTCATTATGCATAAGCAACATGGAGTAATAAAAGACCATCTAATGGAACAACACAACATTATTATAACAAGGAAAATTTTAGACAATAACACTAAAGCAATTTATTATAACAGAGAATACTTCAAAT